TGTTATGAATAGCTTTTTTTGCTAGCATTTTTTTTCTTCAATTATTTTCTTCAACAAATTCTCTACAATAATACTCGAGCATCGTCTCTTTGATTGCAGCTTTAGTGCGTGGTCATCCCCTGGACTATTTGGAATACCAGGTCCAGAGGCCACTGGACTGAACATTATGGGGATAGCCTGGAAGTGACCTTTGAGTCTTGCGCTCTGCGCAGGGCACTTTCCAGACTCTTTTCTAGTAAAAGTTAGCTGTGGTGTGCATTCTAGTTCCAGAGCTGGTGGCATTGCCTCAACGCTTGCCCTGTCTCTGAAAACTCAGTGAGTAGGCCAGTTGGGCTGAGCACTGGGGGCTACCTCAATTATTTAGCTAGCTAGGCACCATTGTCCCCTGTTGCTTGTTGACATTGTTGGGGAAAGAGTTAAAGCTGTGGAACTGAGCTGCGGAGTTGTGTGGGCGCACTCCGTGCTCTCCCACCATACACCCAGGGGGCGGGAGAGGGACAGTAGTACCAGGTGCCTCCACCTTGAACTCTGCTAATAGCCCTGCCGCTGCTTCATAATGGATGACATCTGCAGGATGGAGTCATTTTGCCCTGTGCTTCTAGATTCTATTCCATCTCTGAAGTCTTCCCTAGCAAAGTCGGGTTTGGAAGGCTTCTCTGCCCTTTCGGCTGAGGTTTCTACTACAATTATGCAAATGTTATTTGTTAATAGTCACACCTAGCCATCCAACCCTCAATGGCTACCATGGGTGCCACATATGTGATTCTAGAAACGGGAAGGGGAGATTTGGCAGCGTGCCTACTGTTGTGCCAACATCCACAGCTAGGAATCATGTTATCCTCTGATCTTAGGTCTATTATATCCTTGGAGTCCTCATTTGCTTCATCAGGTGTGGCTGGGGCTTCTCCTCTCTTGTCTGAGTTTTTTTTACCACAGTCACACAGATTATGATCCAAATTACCAAGTTATTTGCTGACTCTTAGCATAATCATCTAATCATATGCAAGCAAAATTCTACTTTCTTTCATTTTCCTTGCACAATATTGGGTATTTTTTGCAAAAGTGACTAATCACTTAGCTTCACCTCATTCACTAAAATAACTAAATCACTAAAATCAAGTAAATTACTAAAATTTAGTAAATCAACTCCAAAGTACATTTATTAGGGCTCTCCAATATTCAATGGTGGAAAAACCATGTATTAATAGGCTATAAGTATTATTTTGCAAAGTATCTAAATCAAATTGGCCTGCGGGGCCATCTTCAGAGCAAATTGCAAATGCCAAAAAATATTTTTGTTTCACAGGTTGCAAAGAAATGTCTCGAGCTAGGGGCCAGATCAGCGAATTATGTGGTGTCTGATATGGGGAACTTGACTTCAGCTCAGAATGTGGCCCAAGAAACTATTGACAAGCTAGGTAAATATGTACTACATTCAATTCATTTAGTTAACTGTCTACATATTGTAATTGGTTTATAGCTACTGTACACAAGCCAGTTTACACTAAGGTCCTGCACAGATCCCCTGCTGATCGGGGTAGTTGGGAACAGTTGTCACTGTAACATCCATGTCCATCCAATATTTTCCTCCATCCTGCGATTCTGTCCGCCTATCTCCTACGCTGCCCACCTTTAGGCGATCCTTAAAAACCCATCTCTTCAGGGAAGCCTACCTCACCTCAACATAACTGCCTTTTACTTCCTCCAATAACTCAATCCAAACAATTATTACCTTTTGTATCACTTGCCCCTCCTACTAGATTGTAAGCTCTCACGAGCAGGGCCCTCCTAACCCTATTGTTCTGAAACTGTATTGTACTGTAAATTGTTTTGTAACTGTACTGTCTCCACTATTTTGTAAAGCGCTGAGCAAATTGTTGGCGCTATATAAATCCTATATAATAATAATAACTTACATGTTGGTCTATGGGGAGTCAGCTGTAAGCAGACATATGTCTGTTTACATCAGATTACTTCCGATCCATCACAATCAGGTCTGCCAAAAGGGAACTCTGTTTTGTTTGGTTTTCCAGATCTGGACGGACTCAGGGGTAATCAGATGTAAACAGGCACGCCCATTAAGATTCGGCTGCCCTTAGACTAACATTGAGCTTCTGATCAGATCCACCTGAAAACCTGATGGTCGGACCTGATCAGACCGCCTATCTGAAAGAGGGCTTAGATTTTAACCCATTTTTACAATGAGTGTACCGGATGAAGATGACTCCTTTAGCTGATCTGCTAAGGTGCTTAGAATTGTTTCCTAACAATCCTAAACCTTCCATTACTACTCTCCCTCTATCCCAGCTATACTTAATGCCCACCTCTGGGTACAATAAGCTTACCAGGGTTACAGCAGCTGAGGAATTCATTGCCTCAGAAGCTACCTCCCATTAGGTATGCTTTCTTCTACATCCCGTCTTCTTGTTTACATGCGGGCATTTGAACATCACCACTCTGTTTCCGGGCTGCTCAGATGTAAGCGCTGGAGGTCTCAGAGTGCTACGGCCACGTCTCTGCCTCCCTCTACCTTACAGCCATTCCCAAAACGAAGCCTGGAGCTGTGTCTTTTTGTGAATGGTAAAAGACACAATTGAAAGGCACTGATATTTGCAAGACCTGCAGCATTTCTATCTGAGCAGCCAGGAAGTAAAGTGGGTGCTGTACTACTCTCCCCATGTAAACCAGAAGATTTGGAGGAAGTAGAAGACAGGGCACTTGACAGGAGGTGGCTTCCGAAGCAACTGAACACTGGTAAGCTTATTGTGCCTGGAGCGAGGATTTCAAGTACTATTCAACACTTAAAAAATGTTTTCAATAATGAATCCAGAACAAACAAATATACATTGCCCAGTAGAGTATTTTTTTACATGCTTGCCCAAACACTGTCATCGTGTTTCCATACAGCTGGCTCCAACTCTCTCAGACCAGCTTCCCTGAACTTCCTGTCCAGTACAAGATCATAAGGAACAGAGCAGTCTCCAGCAGCAGTTCATCTACTAGCCTGGAGGAAGGAGGACAGGGGAGGGAGGAGGAGAATGCCTTGCTTTGTCTGTGTGTATGTGGAGACACACACAGCTTACTAGAACACTCAAGGGTGGCTCTATAGGATTCTGCAAGGAAAGGAGCCATCCTAAAAGAGGATGTCGGATCCAGTGCTCAGGGGACCGGCTGATTCTACAGGAAACTAAAACTTTTAAACAACAGTCTCTGTTTTTACAACTGCTTTTACAACATTTTCTGGGTTATTGATCCCTGGGAAAATGTTCATTTACTGGTTAAGACATGACTGAGCACAGCAGGAACTATATATTACCCAAATATGTGATGGCATTATTAAAAGGTACAAGCCAGACAAAATGAGAATAAAGCCCTGAAGACATTTCACTAGTCATCCAACCAGCTTTCTCAATTCAGAAATTTCTGAATTGAGAAAGCTGGTTGGATGACCAGTGAAACGTCTTCAAGAAAAATACAGAAAGTCCAGTTGCCTTGACTTATTTTTTACAGATATACCATGTGACCTGGATGAATGAACCTTCACAGATATATTGCTATAGAGAATCGGATCTCACTGGCCCCTCAACCCCCCTGGCATTCTCTGCACTAAAGTAGCTAACACTCTAATGTCCCCCGCACAGTCACACACTATTATTATACATTTATAAAGCTCTGACATATTCCGCAGTGCTATACAGAGAAGTCACATCAGTCTCTGTACAGAGGAGCTTACACTCTAATGCAGAATACCATCAGCTATATAGGACTAAAAATCACTGCAAAACATTTTACAGCAATGCAGAATAATAGTATATGAATTTGGTACATACTTTGTGCTGCCACTCTGCTCCGGGGGAAGCAGCCTGAAGTCTCGGGCAAAGGGTCTCAGAAGGGGAAGATAGGCAGCTGGTGGAAGCCCGGTAAGAAGGCACCGCGTGGTTCCCCAGAAGGCTGCTGCGCGGGACCTAACACAGCCAAATCAACGCAGAAGTCAGTGGTGTAATGCAGAGTACAGAAGTCAGAGGTGCAACATAGAGCACAGCAGTGTGATGCAGAGGGCAGTGGTGTGATCTACAGTGCAGTGGTCAGGGTGTGATGCAGAATGCAGAGGACAGCGGTGTGACCTACAGTGCAGAGGCCAGCAGTGGGGCGGGAGGTTCTAGTCTCAAGTGACGCCTCCAGTCCAGCATGATGCCCAGCTGCCTCCTTGTGCCCTCACTTCAGGTCCCGCTCTTTCTCTGTCAATGGTAGCCCTGCAGTCTTATTCCTAGCCTATGGCAGCTGAAGTGGACGGAGGAAGTTGCAGGTGGCCACCGAGGAGCCCGACTATTTAGCGGGCTT